CTGGACCTCAACCGCAAGGATCCGATCGCAGTGTGCACCGCTGGACCTCAACCGCAAGGATCCGATCGCAGTGTGCACCGCTGGACCTCAACCAGATAGTTTGCCAGATAAAATCCACAAACACACAATCACAAACACACGACCACAAACGCGCAACCACAAACGCGCAACCACAAACACAATCACAAACCCACAATCACAAACACAATCACAAACACACAACGACAAACACAACTACAAAGACATAATCACAAACGCATAAGCGCAAACACAAAACCACAAACACACACCCACAAACACACAACCACAAACACGCAACCACAAACACAAGCACAAACACAATCACAAACACGCAACCACAAACACACAACCACAAACACACAACCACAAACACACAAACACGCAACCACAAACACACAACCACAACCACAAACACATCCACAAACACAACCACAAACACACAACCACAACCACAAGTACAAACACACAATCACAAAGACACAACCACAACCACAAACACAACCACAAACACACAACCACAACCACAAGTACAAACACACAATCACAAAGACACAACCACAACCACAACTACAAACACATAATCACAAAGACACAACCACAACCACAACTACAAACACATAATCACAACCACTACCACTACCACAAACACAACCGCAAACACATCCACAAACACACAACCGCAAACACAACTACAAACACACAATCACAAAGACACAACCACAACCACAACTACAAACACACAATCACAAAGACACAACCGCAACCACAACCACAACTACAAACACACAATCACAACCACTACCGCCACCACAAACACACAACCACAAACACACAACCACAAACACACAAACACACAACCACAAACACAACCACAAACACACAACCACAACCACAAGTACAAACACAATCACAAAGACACAACCACAACCACAACTACAAACACATAATCACAAAGACACAACCACAACCACAACTACAAACACATAATCGCAACCACTACCACTACCACAAACACAACCACAAACACACAACCGCAAACACAACTACAAACACACAATCACAAAGACACAACCACAACCACAACTACAAACACACAATCACAAAGGCACAACCGC